TAACAGTTTGACCCTACAAGAAAGCAAAGAGGGAAAAAATGTACAATGACTTTCCCTTGGAAGGGATTAAAGCTGACCAAACCAAATGTCTGGCGAAATACATGCTCTTCCAGAGCAAAAGCTTTAAAAAGTAGCAGAAGAAGCTACAGATATGTCCCTTTTTTGCAAAGAACAACTACAATGCTATCCATGGACTTTGAAGATGTGGGAAGGGAGTTTTGCCCTTGTCCGTGTTCCTTCCCCATTCACAGTACTGTAACTATTTGGAGGAAAAAATAAACTTCTCACAGAGGATGAAATTTAACAGACACAAATGGAAAGTTCATCACTTGGGAAACCGAAATTAAACAACAGCTTTAGGATGAGAAATACCTGACTTAAGGTTTGTGCTGGCACAGGGACAGTTGACTAATTGTTTTTTTTTTAAGTACAGAAGTGCACATGATCCTCAACCTACCCCCAGACCACCACGAAGGCAGCTTCGCTTTGTCTTGCTTCATCTTACCAATAGTTGTTCCAACTGTTGCTGACAAAGTGGGCTCTGTGGTCTATCTGCTATACTTCATTGTAGGCAAATGTTTCCAATTGGCTACCGCGCAACAGTTGCAGAATCTCCACTTCCTTTTGATTCCAGGTCACTGTCTTCCACAGCCATTTTGTCCCTGGCTATTTACTGCTTTCTATTTATTGCTCACAGTGCACCTTTGCTTTTTATTTTTATTTTTAAATGAGTGGACTTGTAAAACAGAGAAGCTGGGATTCTGGTTTGTTTCATTAATCTACTGTTGGGCATTTTAACATTTAAAAATACTAAAGCATTAAACACTGGTGGTGCAGTGGTTAGAATGCAATATTGCAGGCTAACTCTGCCCACAGCCTGGAGTTTTACCCTGACGAGGCTCGAATATGACTCAGCCTTCCGTTCTTCCAAGGTCGGTGAAATGAGGACCCAAATTGTTGGGAGCAATATGCTGACATTGTAAACGGTTCAGAGAGTGCTGTAAAGCAGTATGGGGCCACATATAAGTCCAAGTGCTATTGCTACTGTCAAAACAAATAGAAGGGAGAATCAACAGCAAGCAGGTTTAATTCAAAAGCTCCCTAAATGGCAACATATGCCTGCAAAGTCCTGATGCACACTGCTTTTGAAGCTCTAGGTCAAACTTGGCAACTTTAAGATTTGTGGACTTCAACTCCCAGATATGCTGGCTGCGGAATTCTGGGAGTTGAAGTCCACAAGTCTTAAAGTTGCCAAGTTTGGAGACCTCTGCTCTAGGTCACTGGCTCCTATCTATATGCATAAGTGCCTACCATCATTAAGACAACCAAAGGACCAGTGTACCACTTAACTTTGTAGAACATACACATTCCAGTGAAATGAATCTCCTTTCGTCTCTTCCTTCCTTTCTTCCTTCCTTGACAAGAGTTTTGCCTGTTCCCCCAATCGCAACAGTGCTGTGATACTATCCTGACACTTGATAAGGCATGGCCTAATAAAAATGTCAATTGCATTTTTGAACCTCTTGAAGCAATTGATTTTTTCCTGTCAGTGTAAAAGTGAAGTTACTTCTTATATCTACCACATTTGAAATTTGAAACTTTTTCTCTCATCTTTCCCCACGGCTTACAGCTTGATTTTTAATTTCTCAGGCTTCATGCTGGGAACCAATCGATTGTTCACATAGCCAACATTCCTATTTTGACAAACTGGAGATGAATATGAATCGCCAGTGTAATATGGTTGTTTTTTTTAAAAAAGGCAAACGTAATTTTCAGGCTGCATCAACATGGATTCTAGTAATAGTTCTGCACTGGTCAGCTCTTGCCTCAAATATTGTGATTACCTGTGGACTATACTGAACATTAAGAAAAAATCATACCAACTAAAGTAGACATGGAAATTGTAATGAGATGATTGCGGGGGAGGGGCGAGGTAGTCAATGTGGTGAAAGAAATTGGGCATGTGTAAGGGAGAATATGATAATACACTTCAAATATCTGAAAGGATATCAAACAGAAAAAAGGTCAAGTTTTTTTTATCATTATTTAAGACAAGGAATAATGATTTAAAGTACTGTAATAATGCTCATTCATATAGGGTATAGAATAACTGATTTAAGGCAGATTCCCATTAGAATTACTGAAAAAAATCCAAAAAAACACTTCCCTACAGGAAATGTACTTCAACAACAGAATCACTCACTATGACAGGTGATGGACACCTCTTTAATAGCTATGTTCAAGCAGAACTTCTGTCAAAAATGCTTTGATTAGATTCCCACACCAAGCAGAGTTGGACTCAAAACATAAATAACCCCTTCCAATCTGATGATTCTGAATGTAAACTTCAGGCTAGTGTGGTCCATGAACAGCAATCTGACATCCCTCTCAATATATACAATAATTATGATTTCAAGGGAATGCAAAGAGTATGGAACTGAACTTGGGTGGAACAACTGATCCCAAAAAGAAAAATTGAGGAAGTTATTTATTTCCCTAAATAATATAGATTAAGAAATACACACAGTCACACTTGTCATAAGCTTTCCATTGGGATATCTACCTAAGAAGTCAAAGGTTGAAGGTTAGGGTACAAAGTTGATCCTGAAAATGCCCCCACACACACACATAACAATGAACATGGCTATATTAAAAGACACAAAAATGGAGTGTGAAAAATAGGACAGCCACAAAACTTAGCTAAAACAGAAATATACTGTTGTCTGGTACTCTATCAGATTTGGTTAGTTGCAAAAGCCATTAGAAATTTCAACATGTACCACTTCCAACAAGCACACTGAATACCTCAGTGTATTTCTCTGTCCTTTTTATTCACACCCCACCATTTATAAAATCTTTAATAGCAATATTAATTCTCTATAGAAGAACTCAGCTGAGGATGCTTGGATGCTTGAAGTAGTACTTAATTTTAGAATCTGTGTTTGCATTAATTCTGCAGATTCTGAGCTCAGTTAACTGAACTAACTGCCTTATCTTTTTGTAACACCAGTCATAAACTTGTTAATCACATTGTAATCTAATGTTTAGTGCCATCTAGTGTAATGGTTATAATTTGAGTGCCCATTTAGTGTAATGGTTAAGATTCTGGCCTAAAAAAAACAGGATATTCTGAGATATAGTCTTGCCTTAGGTATGAAAGTCAGCTAGGTAACATTGGGCCAGTTACTCTTTCTCCACCCAGCGCACCTAACAGAGTGGTTCTTGTGGGGAAAATAGGAGGAAGAAGGAGTCTCAGGTATATTTACCACCTTATTTGAAAAAGTAATAAAAGTGGGATAAAAGAAATCTAAAAAATAAAATGTCTTTTACAGTTGCAGGACATGCTTGCCCGTTATTAATACAACCACATTTTATTCACTCCTATATGCTATTTTATAACAGCAAATTACAATAGGCTAACATATACTTGACATGTTTGCCAATTTAGACTAAAGTGGCTTAGATTTAAATTATTCTCAATTATTATGCACTCTTAACCATGATTAACATTATCATGATTAACAACTCAATTTTCATAGCATCCATGATACTCTGAACTATAAAAGTGATCACCCAAGCTGAGTTTGCACAACTGGCTAGACTAAAATTTGCGGCTTGGATTGTAGTGTAGTGGCTTTTGCATGTCCACCTATGCTACCAGTAAACTGCAGGTTAGTCTTAAAACATCTTGAAACACTAGAATCTGTAGCTGGGGCTAAGGCCAAGAAGACCCTGTCTTGGGCATCCATTTCAAAGCTTAGGTGATGCCCAACATTGCCACTCCTGCCAAATCATTCCAAAAATACAGACTTTTGTATCATCATCAGGTGACACCATCAGTCACTGTAGCCTAAGGGCACAGTATATCGTTGAGCCAGCCTTGGTTTGCAAGATCCAGAAAATAGCAATAAAGTGAAGAAAATAAGAGAGAATCATCTTTTGCTAGAAAGAAGAATGCTCTTTGATAATCGATTCTGGGAATAGAAGAAAATATTTTTCACATATACCTTTGCTTCAACTAGATCACTGTTGTCAATGAGGGTTGGGAGACACGGACTCTATGAGATTTTAACCACACTTCCATGAACATTGAATCTGGAAGCCTTTTCATGCAAGAAGCAGTGAGAAGTAGAGTGGGAGTATGACAGAAAAAAAGCTCTTGATCCTTTCCCCCCTACCAGTCTTAAGAAGTATTTTAGGCCATGTTGCCTGTTTTCTGAGCACAAGGAGCTCCTATGCCCAAGAGACAGTGCAGTCATGTTGTCTTTGAGCAGGCTGGGTTCATTTGCAATTATACATTACAAAGCAAATTACTTCCAAGTGCTTAGCTCGTTTATGGTTCGGTGTAGCGCAGAATCTTTGCTTTTGTATCCTCCTAGCGAGGCCTGCAAGCAGAAAACCAGTTTGGGGGTTGGGAGCAAGAAGTTCAAAAGGATGCCAAATGCTAACTAATCCTTGTGACTTACTAAAGAGCTGAGGGGGAATGCAAAGCGGCAGGCGGTCCCATCCTTCTTTAGGGACCTCACTAGGCACAGCAGCTTAAGACCGCGAGACGGTGTGCCTTGAACGAACTTGCCCGCATTCGGCCGCCGCTGCTCCGCGAGTCAAAGCCTCAACTGTCCCCCGACGGATCTTCATAGCGCTTTAAGAGAAGGCTGAGCCTTCCAACTCCGCCCCTAAGTTCCCGGGACGCCTCCGTCAGATCCCATCCCAATTGGCTGGCTAGGATATGAATATGTATGTCCCGACCTGTGTGAATGAGGCGCTGTGCCCTCCCTCGCCGCCGCACAGAGAGGCTTAGGGAGCGTGCGGGGCTTCGCTTGAGCAATCGCTCTTCTTCTGGTCGCTCGCCGAGCGGTGCCTTGGCGGCGGCTCTGCAACCGGCTTGGTCCTGCTGCCACAGAGCCCGGGGAGCTTCTTGCCTCTTCGCTGCCGCTGTCTTCCTCCTGCCAGGCACGGCCCCGACTCCACGCTCCTACTTGGCGGCGCCTGCCGAAGAGATGCGGGGCCTGTCCGGATGGATGCTGCTGCTGGTGCTCGGCAGCTGGTTCCGTCTGCGAGCAAAGGGCGCCGTGCCGCTGGCTGGCTTTTATCCCTTCGGGCCGGCGCAGGGAGACGCGGCCACCCCTCAGCAAGACGACGGCGGTTCTGGTCTCCAGCCCATCGCCGTCAAGTTCCCCTTCTTCGGCGCGACTCACACGGCGCTCTACGTGAGTAGTCGTCCCGTCGGGTGCTTCGGAAAGTGCGGGCACCGCCGCGCGGGACTTTTGCTCATCTCTGCGGTTCCTTAATGAGAAGTTAGTCCCAGAGGTGCTTTTTTTGTTTTGTTTTTTAAAGAGGCAACTGGACTTTTTCTTTGAAGACGTTTCGCCTCTCATCCAAGGAGCTTCTTCGGCTCTGAAAGTCCAGCTGCCTCTTGAAAAAGTACCTTCGGGACAAGCATGACCAGGATGACTGAGAATCTCCGTAGACGAGAAGTAGTATGCTTAGTGCGGAGCAATAATGCCTCGACTACGTGCACCAGCCCTAGCCCCTTTCTAAAACTTATTTTATCTCTGAATATTTGTTGCCACTGGGAAACTATTTTCCCATGATATGCCTACCAGTTAGGTTGTACTGCTATGTCAGATGCTTGCTTTTGTTGTTTTGCTTCCTGCTCCAGGATGCTCTGTCTTCAAAGCATTGGGTACCGATCCTAATGTCTTACCCAAACACAATGGATCTCACCCTTAACTGTAGTGCTTGGGACCCCAGCCTTTGAACCACCAAACCGGGTCCGAAGGAAGCTCAGGTCTTAATTGACTTCCTAAAGATTAGCGCTGGGGGCTGATAATAAAGTTTAAGCCTTGTGTTTAAACTTCCCCACGGTCCTCTTCTCCCCACATCCTTCAGAGAGGATGCTAGAAAGACAACGGGGTGTTATGAAAGATTACATACCGATCTTCACCGAGTTGCTGATTAATGATTATGGAAGATGTAGTATTTAACACGTTAGAAAAGAAAACAAGTTAGGAAAGCTGCTGAATTCACATGGAATCACTCATATTAACAGCCAGTGTTTTGATGGCTCAGCGTGGCTAGGTAGTGACACATAGTTGAGGTTGGGTGATCTTAAAAACTTGAGTGGGGCCAAGTCTGTTAGAATTTGGATGGGAGACCATTAGGGGAATTTCAGGGCCAAAAGTTGAACTGGAATTTTTATTTTATTTTTTAAAAAATCCTGGGAAAAGACAGCGGCAAACCATTTCTGTAATGATACTAAGAAAATTACACAGATGTGTCCATGTGTCCAGTACTCAAATTTGATGAGAGAGAGGTTTTGCATTTACTGGATGATTAGGATAGAGAGATTGTTCCACTTACTATGACTGTCACTTAATATGACAACTTATATGCAAGGTGGTCAACTGTTATAATAAATTGTTAATAGTAAGAAAGTGAAAACTGAAAGAATATATAAGAAACCAGTAAGAAAAGCTATCAATGGTTTGCAGGAAGAGATGAGACAAAAAGGAGATCCTGGCTTCCAGACCCAGTTTTTTATTGAACAGTGCTTGCTAATCCTAGAGCAGGGGTCACCAACCTTTTGGACCTCAGAGACCACCAAACTCATAATTTTAAATCCTGCGGACCAGAGACCCTGGGAAAATCCCCAAAAAAGTCTTCAGGAAAATTCCCCACCCTATTTTCTTACCGATTGATTATTCTTTATTTGGGATCGCAGGATACCATCTCCAGCTCTGTTCTCAGGGGGAGAGAGAGAGAGAGAGAGACTTTTGGCTTCATGCAAGGAAAGCATCAGAAGCATCAGAAGTTTTTCTTTCTCTCCCCCAAACTCCACCAGAAATGAGTCTTTGCCAGCACAGCCTCTTGGAGCAGGATGCCTTGCAGGGTTCCAAAGACTCATTTCTAGCAGAGTTTGGGGGAGACAAAGATTTTGCTGCTTTCCTTGCATGCAGCCAAAAGCAAAAGATGAAAGAAGTAGAAAGAAGTAGCCCAATAGCCAGGTGAAGCATGTGGGGCCAGTTCTCCCCTCCATCCTTTCCCCCCTCCCATCACTACCTCGTGTTGTTCGCAATGCAAACGATGCAAGCTTTGTGTTCCCGCAGGCCATGTGGGCGGCACAGCCTTATGTTCCCGCATAGCCTGGATTAATTGCTTTTGGGGGGGGGGACATTTCTCTACGGACCACCAAAATTTTGTCATGGACCACCAGTGGTCCCCAGCCCACTGGTTGGCAACCACTGTCCTAGAGGGCAATAGGTTTTGTTTTAATGTAACTTATTTAAGTATTCCAGTTTGAAAATCTACTCTTTGAATATTGTCATTTTGGGGGGGTCAAACTCGTGGCCCGCAGGCCAGATGCGTCAAGTGCTAGCCACGGCCACACCCAGTTTAGCAAATGGGGGAAAGTTACAATACGTCATGTGATGCCACCATGACAACCGGAGTTTGACACCCCTGTTCTAGATTTAAAAAGCACATGAAACTTCTTTGCGCCTGAAGGAGCTCACTGCTCCAGATCTAGTTTGACTACTAAAACAAATTCCTGGAATCTGCTTTTTCCTTTACTCTTATGGGTGTTTCCTATATCAGAGAATAAACCAAAACGGTTAAAATTTATGAGTTGTAAATAAGAAAAAAACCTCTGTTCCCTTTCAGTTATTTTGGAAAGCATCTGTAATCAGTTGGGTGTTTATAATTGGAGCTGGTAAGAGTTGTGCTCCAAAACATGTAGAGGACACCAGCTTGGCCAAGATAAGACACGATGATGCTATAAAATCACTAAAGAGTTGTTTAGCTTTGTTTTTTAAGAGAAAACAAAAGAGGCAACATATTTGTCTTCTTGGCATCATACATACTGTATTTGTCATGTTGTAACAACTTTTCAACTGTCCAGTAATTGTGGAAATTAAACTCGAATTCCTCCTCTTCTCATACCCCAAAGCAGATTTGTGGAATACATATACTACTGAGCACTTTGTAAATAATATGGTTGACAACTGAAGGTTGTGCAGTCAACAAAAATCAGTATTACTCATAGCTACCCAAATATTTGGCATAGCTTGGTGTTTAGGTTGATTTTCACAAATTCGTGTCCTTCAAATGTATTGGAATCTTGTTGGTTGAGATTTGTAGCTCCAATACAAATGGAAATTTACTGTATTTTAAACTTTGAGATTATTAGGAATAATTAGTTATTAGGAATAATGAACCCTTCAAACTAATTTTGTTTTCCAAATCATTTAGCACTAATCATCAGATAGAAAGGCTATAATAGTTTATGATCTAATCTTGCTTGCTGGTAGCAGCAACAATACTATGGTGTGTATAGTGCTTTTAGATACTCAAAAAATTTCACAAACAGCCCAGAAGGTGATGTTCATAATTTTTCCTGGGAAAGGCACACTTGGCCATGCTAGGAGCCATACCCCCCAAAAGCAATTCATAAATCCAGGAGTGAAATGGAATTTGATTCTATTCCTTTTAAGTATAAATAAATTGTAATACTATATAATCAGTAGAATTGCTTTTCAGTCAGATCAGTGGTGGTATTCTACCAGTTCGACCCGGTTCTGCCGAGCCAGTAGCAGCGATGAGCAGTGGAGACCAAACCCGTTCTCTCTGCCGCTCTGCTGTTTGGCCCACCTGCCCGCCTGGGCTCCCATACTGACCTTTATCCTCTGAATTTGAAGCGCAGCTGCTTTCCACACAGAATAGTGCTGCACGACAGCTGCTGAAGCAACAGGGATTGTGCAGGCTTGCAGGAGGTGAGTTAGAACGCATCTACACCTACGCAAATGCCTCTGCGCCTGTGCAAAGTACATGTTTGGCACACACGCGCGCAAATTGTGTGCACACGTGCAAAGCACATCCACCAAGCCACATCCACCGAACCGGAGGTGAAAATATTTGAATCCCATCACTGAGTCAGATATTAATATTTTTTGCCTTTTTAAAAAAGAAAGCATTTCAATACACCCTTTGGGATCTGGAGGAGCTGTTTTTAAGGCTGTATGTTACCTGGTGCACAATCTATTCATAATATCATACAGCATACAGGGTGGCAGTATTATTATTCCCATAATACAGATTTGGAGCAATAAGCAGCAGTAGTGGGGGAGGAAGAAACGCAGTGGTGGTATTCAGCTGGTTCGCACTGGATTGGGCGAACCAGTAGCAAGAATTTGGCGTAGGTCGCCGAACCAGTAGTAAGTTCTGGCTGGCCACGCCCCCAATCCAGTCACCCTCCCGCCCGATGCTTGCTTACCTGCCCGCCTGACATTCGCCTAAGGTATTTCTTTTTTTCCCCCTCCTGACAATCAGCTGTAGATAAGATCAGCTGTGCCGGGATTCCCCTTGCTGAGGCCCAGGAAGGCAAAAAATGGGGGGAGAAGCTCAGCCCCCCTCCATTTTTTGCCTTCCAGAGCCCCAGAGGAGCCTTAGGGGAGCAAAAATGCCCCCCCCCAAGGGTCTTCTGAGGCTAGGAAGCTCCCAAAACGGAGCTTGGAGGAGTGCTGCCTGCCCCTCCTGTGCTCTGTTCCTTTTCTTCCAGAGCCCCAGAGGAGCCTTAGGGGAGCAAAAACGCACCCCCCCCCGAGGCTCTTCTGTAGCTAAGAAGTTCCCAAAAACAGGTGGAGGGGGCTGCAAAAAAAAGCCATGCCCACCCAGTCACATGGCCACGCCCACCAAGCCACACCCACAGAACCGGTAATAAAAGTTTTTGAATCCCACCACTGAAGAAATGGTGGTTGGTAAGATTATCAACAGGATAAGAATGGGGACTCCTAACTTTTTAATCTATCTCCTAACTGTCATCTTTCTCCAGGAAAATGGGTATTCAGCTCCAGTGCTTTAGATAACTGAACCTAAAGAAGTTCATAGAAAGAATGTTTTGTGATTCCTGTACAGTAGTCTCCTTTTCCCTTCATTATTCCTCATGTTACATTGTTGAAAGACAGACCACATAATCAGAGGCTTTTTGAAGTTTATGGAAGGACAGAGAGAAAAGAAAATGATTCTTCCCTAAGTATCCTTAATGTATCTTATCCTAGGATCAATATCTCCAGCAGCCAGGCTTCAAATTTAAATCGAAGGCTTGGCCTCTACAATCTCCCTTAAAAACTCTTGAAGGAGGGGGGATCCCCATTCCCATTCCATAACAACTCCAACCTCCAATGTTACAAATGAATAGCTTTATCTGCCTGCT